TTTCTTAAAGGGCTCTCTCTCTCTCTCTCTCTCACACACACACACACACACACACACACACTCACTCACTCCTCCCTCCCCTCTTCCCTGACCTGGTGAATCTTCACGCAGAAAGTTAATCCTAGCTCCTCAGAACCCACCCTTACTTGGAGTGGCCTCTATTTTGTTTGTTTTTTTCCTCTCATAAAGTTTCTTTCTAACCTCTAAACCGCCCCCACCCTTTGCTTTAAGCCTGCATTCTCCTTCGCTACTATATATTGCTTGAAGTACACAATGGTTAATGTTTGGACATGCGATAAAAGTGGGGAAAGCAAAGTTTTGTGCTTTAGAACACAAGAGTCTGGAGTCTTTTGTGTTCTCTCTCTCTCTCTCTCTCACACACACACACACACACACACACACACACACACACACACCTCCCTGGCCTGATGTAGGGGAAAGAGCTTGTTTAGGGGAAAAAAAGGAAGGAGATGTCTTCTTTACTCATAAAGTCAAAGCTCCTGTCATCTCCTAGCTCCTCAGAACCCACCCTTACTTGGAGTGGCCTCTATTTTGTTTGTTTTTTTCCTCTCATAAAGTTTCTTTCTAACCTCTAAACCGCCAGTCGGACATCCCCTGAGGGGGTCCCGGATTGCAAGAGGGCGCAGGCCAGACTGAGGGACCCCCTCCCATGCACGAATCTTAGTGTCTCAGGCCCCAGTACATATATAAAATTATGTTATACAAACTAAATATATATAATTTTTATTTGTCCATCATACCTCAATAAAGATAGGAAAAAGAAAATAAATAAATGGATCTTACATTTTATGTAAAATCTGGTGTATTGTGCTTTTAGAAAACTCTAACATATTTAAACAATGACACCAAAAACTGAAATTAGGGGATAATGAGTAGGTTATTTTAAAAGTTTATTTCTTATATATTTATTGTATATTTCTCCAAAATAATAAATTACTCTGATAGATTTCAAATATGAATCAGTTATATGCACAACTTTTTAGAAATGCTTCTAATACTTAAAGTGAGGAATAACTTAAAATATGTAGAATATTTGACAATCTTGATATCTCCATTTCTCTCACTCTACATCCAATTATATTCCTTCAAAATATACTCCAAATCCAACCACTTTTCACTATCCTGCTCCAAACTAATATCAACTGTCACCTAGATTATTGCAATAGCACATAACTGGTATCCCTATTTCCTGTTTCTAGTTTTTCCTCCTACAGTCTTTTCTCAACACAGTAGCCAGAGTGATTCGTATTTAAAACGTAAGTCAAGCCCTGGCTGGTGTGGCAGTGTGGCTCATTTGGAGCATCATCCCATGTACCAGAAGGTGGTGGGTTTGATTCCTGGTCAGGGCACATACCCAGGTTCAGTACCAGTCAGGGCACATATAGGAGGCAACCAATCAATGTTTCT